CAATGGGTGTGTTGGATGGAACTCCTCTTCTGTTTCGCTTTGTTTGCCACTTTCTCTTTTTATTTTGCAGGGGCTCAGTCTTGACAGGTGCTTTAAACAGGTCATACAAGGGGCTGGCAATATGTGAAAAATCCTTGATATACTGCCGGTCATAACTCAACAGTCCTAAAATTGCTCTCAACTCACCAACAGTATACCTGGCTGCTTGTCTTTCAGGGATCTTACAGCAGCAGTATTGGCAGGGTCCATTCTGTTTCCCTCAGCAGACACAATTCTCCCAAGGTACCGCACTTCTGTCTAAAACAGGTCACATTTTCTGGGTTTCAGTTTTATCCCATGCTCCCTCAGTTGTTGCAGTACCTTTCTGACGTCACTGACATGATCCTCAAACGTTCAGCTAAACACAAGAACATCCTCGAGATATGGCACACATATTTCATCCCTTAAGCCTTCTAAGCATTGTTCCATGCAACGCTGAAATGCTGCAGGTGCATTCATGAGCCCAAATGGGATCCGGACCCACTCATATAGGCCCCACGGGGTCACAAAAGCTGTCAAATGTGTGCTTCCCTTTGCCATGAATCCCTGGTGGTACGCCTTACCCTGGTACAGCAGTGAAAAGAGGGTGTTTCCTCCCAGGGTGTCCATAATGTCCTGCACTCTGGGCATGGGCTGGCGATCTGGATGAGTTTTCTTGTTGAGCTCCCTGTAGTCAATTCATAAGCGCAGAGTACCGTCTTTTTTCCTTACACAAACAACTGGCGAGGAGTAGGAAGAGGTCGACTTTTCAACCCACCCTTGTGCTATCAAGTCCTGTAAATAGTCTTTCATTTCTATGTATAAAGGTTTTGGAACAGAGAGGTACGTTTTTGATACTGGCTCGTCATCTTTTAGTGAAATGTCCATTTGCAGGTTTTCCACACAGCCTATGTCATTATCAGACCTGGAGAATGACTCTGACTCTTCTCTTAACATCAGACTGACTGTCTCCCTCTGGTGTTCATTAAGGTGAGTCAAATCAACAGGAGGTTCCCATTGTTCTTGGGTAGGGATGCTCTCACTAGAGTTCTGAGCCTGTACATGGTGAATGAATGCAGTTGGTAAGTGATCTGTTTTAAACATGTTGGCAGGATACACTGATCTGGTCGACTGTACAGTTCCAATAACAGTCCTTCCTGACAGCATAATGTCATGACTTGTAGGGTTTTGCACACTGACAATAATTGTTGGGGTCATCCCCGCCTTCACTGACACAAAAGTGTCACAAAACTCTAGTCCTTCAGGCCAACGTGGGTTCTCGTCCGGTTCAAAGATAAGAGTCTTGTCCTCTCTGAAAGGTGGGGCCTGTACTCGACACTCGATTTGGATGGAGGTACGCTTAGGCACACTGACACTCTCATTTGCTGTCCTTACATTATGGTCACATGTCTCTCCTACACTCACTGCATTAATAAAGGTTTTTGCTTTGTTTTTCCTGAGATGGGGAAAAGCCATTCTTACTGCTTTCACAAGTTTGTCTTTATCCGCATGCTTTGTTTGGTCTCGCAAGCTATCTAGGACAAGACGCTCGATGACATTAAAGCCAATAATAAGACATTGTTGTTGTTTGCCTTTTAACACTAGCATGGTTATTAGCAGCTCATCATCACTAGCAGTAAGTTTAAAGGACACTTCGAGCCATCCGACGTATGGCATTTCTGTTCCATTGGCTGCTTCGATTTGCAAAGGGTCAAGAGGGTCAACTAGCTCTGATACATCTCTGAGAGGAACATCAGGTAAATGGCTTTTTTTCCATACCTCATCTATAGCACAAACTTGTGAACCTGTATCCCAAAGTGCCTGGGTTTTCTGTTTGTGCAGGAAACACCTGATGACACTTCTTTCCTACTAACTCACTTACAGTAGATGTTTTCTCTGGAGCCCCATTCTCCTTGCACTTGACTTTATCACGTGGCTGAGTTGCCTGCTTCTTGATACCTGAACATGCATATGGCTTACAAAGTCTTTTGTGTGTGGGCCAATGGTTTCCCTGACACTCCTTTGAGCAGTATAGAGTGATTTTACAAACTGAACAACATTCTAGTTCCTCGCATCTTTTCTCTTCTTCACAACCTGCACAAAATTGGGACTTATCAATATCACTGGTTTCTCCATGTCCCGTGGGAGCAACCCCTCTTAGTTTAAAGGAATTCTCCGAGCGGGCTCTACTGGTCTCTGTGCTTTACAACCTGCTCTGAAGTGTTCACTGCTTCCACACCTGAAGCAATGCTGACAGTACTCCTCGCCTGCTTGAGTACATGAGGAACACCTTGGCTGAGGGCGTCGTGCTGTGTAAAACCTCTGCGGTGCAAACATCTGCTGGAACTGGGTCGTCTCTCTCATCCGCCCAGGGCCGAATGCTGGTCGATATTCCTGCACTGCTTTTGGTGACTGCTGGTGGTAAAATGACATGTCATTTCACTCAGTCTTATAAGGTGAGGATTGTGGGGGTGAAAACACTGGGTATGGGGAGGGCACAGTTGCTGGTTCTCTGCTTGGTGGGAGGGACTGTGGCGGTGCAGGTGTGGGTCTTTGGATGGTTTCCCTGATTTGGCAGATCTCAGCTTTCAAGTCTTTCAATAGCACCATGTCAAAGCGCATTTCTTTGATTTCAGCGAGCAGATCGGGGGGAAGTGTAGCTGGACTTTGTGAGGTGGCGCTTTTCTTTTCCACCAGAGCTTCACTTGACTGTGTTCACATTAGTTACACGTGATGGGGCAGCATGTTTCTCCAACAACAGTTCATCTGAGGTATCCGTCTGGAGGAGGTAGGGCTGCAGGTCACCTTTAATATTGTCACTCTGGAGGCCAGTTAGGACTGTATGCATAAACAGACTCTGGACTAGTACTGGGTCATATTTTAGACTTGAATCAGCTTCCTGAGAAGCAAACAGGATTTTTTGTCTTAGGTCATTTATTAAGAAGTTTTGAGGGGTCTCTTTACTGTTTTGAACCTCAGAAGTGAGTTGTTTATATAACTCTGTGGCGCCTCTCTCCGGGTAATGACACCTGAGGATCCTGCGAAGGGCAGGCAGTGTTAGTTTGTCTTTCCCTTCAAAAGGGAAGGACAAACTAACTTCGTAACTGCAGGCCTGGTGTGATAGCACGGATTACAGCATCAATAATCTCTGACTCTGGATAGCCTTTGCTGAGCCCATTTTCAATTTGTTTGGCCAGACCAGAAAATGTTAGCTTATCTTTTTGCCCTGGCTCGCCTATCTGGCCAGATATCTTAAAATCTTTGCGCCACATGGAGCCATTAGGGGGTGCTGGAGCCATATTCTTTTCTGGCTTGCTGGAACTGGCAGTGGGGTGCATGCTTGTTTTCATTAGGTCATACATTGCGTTCTCTGTTTCTTTCAACAACAGCCTTAGCGCCTCTACTTCTTTCTGGAGGTTTTCCTGTAACTCAGTTTGACTGGAAATTTCATATTCACTTACGTTTGTTGCCGTATCAATTTTGTCTATTATGTCGTGTACACTAAAGGAGGTCTGACATACCCTCATCCTCTAGGTCGGCCAATTCTTCCCGTTCAAGATACTTTATTACATGTGAAATCATTTGACTGCGAGTTTTACCAGTTACATATTCTTTCCCTGGTCCCGAAATCTGCAGTGCATTGCATATTTTAATCAGCTGCTCGACAGTCAGTTTGTACAACGCTCCTTTAATCTCCAGTTGCAGCTTCGCCAATTCGGACTCCATTTTATCAGAGAGGGCATAAGCAGTAAAATGAGGGTTAATTTGACTTAATTGGCTTTTTGCTGCTCCCTAGTGGTCAGTTTTGCTCACTTCAGGATGCAATGTGCCAGGTTCGTCTGAAGACCACTTCCACCACCTTGCTGAACTCTTTTCTCTGATACCTGGGTTGTTTGAAGGGATGATCGACGCAAGGACTCCACTTACAACTCAGGGGTGATCCGCAAGCCAAACATCCCAGCGGTGCCTCCAAATGTTGTGCCCTTAAAAAGGGGAAAAATAACGGGAGAAGGTTGAAGAAACACGCACACGCTGCTCTCGCCTTCACTCGTCTGTATTGAATGAGTTTTTGAACAATGTGTACAAGAAAACATACATTTCAATATTCGTGCACTCATTAGATTCAGGACCACAGTCACAAGTATCTTCTTAATGCATTCTAAATTATCCTTTTAACTAAATTACCATATGCAATGTGAATTGTTTTAAACAAAGTTATCAAATTACATTTTAGTAACTCCTTTTTAAATGAGTTCTCACATAAAACTAAAATTAATTATATATTTAACATTGTATTCATTGTCTCAGCATGACATGAACTTGGCCTTATAGTGATAAATACACAATAAATCTTACAGCAAAAATATGTGGACATACCAGTAGCTAACTTAAACACCAACGACAAAGTATACTCTAGTATTTGGCGAGACTCGGACACGATGGAGCCATGAGGTCTTCGGCTGCTAGCATAACGTTACACATTTTCTTCGTTAGCATGAAACGCTTTAACCAATATACGTTACACATGTAAAAACGTCTCTTAAAACATAACGAATGTACTATCAACATGTGTCAAAATCTACATTGCTTTGTGAATGGTCATTACCTTAAAAAGGGGAAAAATAACGGGATAAGGTTGAAGAAACACGCACACGCAGCTCTCGCCTTCACTCGTCTGTATTGAATGAGGAAGAGAAGCGCGCCGGTATCCCCCTACTGAAACCCCAAGGCATTACCAACAGATCGACGAATAATTAACCCATACAGACGAAGATCAGCCTTATCTGCAATCAACTTCTTAATATAACTAACTTAATATAATTTTAAACAGTGACAAAACTGCATACGCATTCTATAACCATTAATATAAACAAAACCTAATACGCATTCTAATATAATAGACTATTGTAAAGCAATAATGAGTTATGAACTATAATTTCACATACCACTTGTCACACTCACTTGTCACATGTGTATGGCAGGCGCTGGTGTTTGACTTTGGAAGCGAGGTGTACGTCTGGACAGGAAAGGATGTTTCTTTGAGTGACAGGAAGGTGGCAGTGCAGCTGGGCAAACACATCTGGAGTGGTGCATACGACTACAGCTCATGCAGGATCAACCCCCTGGACCCCTCCTCAGCCAATAAAGACACCCCTAAGTGAGTGACACCTCTCACGTCACCTCTCACACCACTAGCTCATGTTCTCTGTGACAAAAAAAATAAAATAAAAAAAATCTTACCAGATTATGATTTTGTAGGTGATGCATTGAGCCTGAGTTTATAAAGCTCTCAAAAATGTGTTAACTCAGTAGAATCTCAAGAACAGCCATTAAAACCAGGACACGTGAAAACGACTGATATATGCAACCACAATACTGCCCTCAAGTGGTTTAAGTTGATTAGAGCATATTAGAGATTAATAAAAGCATTTCCTTTTGTAAATGTAATAAATTATTATTTTAGTCTAGGAACAACAATCAATATTTTTAAAGTTTAAATATTCATAAATTTTTTTATGTGTATCTTCAAATACACACTGAACATGAACAAAGTTAGTAAGTAATAGTTAGACGAAAATAAATGACTTGGTTCAGTTAGTGAGTCAAGATCTGTTCCAAACAATTCTGTGAATTAGTCTTGTCAGATAGACATTGAGTCAATCTTTTTGATTGAATTAGTTAAAGTCAGTCAAAGAGTCATTGTTTTCACAAATTGACACTACACTTGTTGCTTTGTTTTTGCATTTTTTCTATGTAACTAGAGAGGACAATGCATTAGAAACAAGTGTTGTCTATTTGTCTTTGTACTGTTTCATCGTGTTCAGTCAATCTCTCTCCATGTATTCAATTCAGACTAAAGAATGTAGAACTGTTACTGGAACCAAATCACATGAGAATCCTACTCCTTTTCTCACTTGTGTCTGTGTTTGTGAACAGACAAGGTGAGGGCAGGCCGAGCTGGGCCCTGTTTGGCCGACTGTCAGAACACAATGAAACCGCTCTATTCCGGGAGAAGTTTCTAGATTGGGCAGAGAGGAAACCCCCCAAAGATGAACCGGTGGTGGAGGAGCTGAAGGTAACAGACAGCGAGACACTCAGAATGGATTCCAACCTTCTTTCCTTTGAAAAGAAAGTGACAACCTACATTTTTTTCTTTCTCCTCTAGAGTCCAGTCTGTCAGCACCTTCCCACCTGTGACTCTGAGCTGAAGCCGTGTGACGTCACAGAGATGCTGGCGGGAACAGCAGGCCCTGTGAAGATGGTGCTGGAGGGTGTGGACGTGCAGAGAGGTCATGGATTGGTCCGTTCTGAGGATGGGCGGCAGGCTGAGCTGTCCACCGTTGCTGTGGACTCATGGCACATCCGTGAGTTTGATGATTTTGAGATCCCGCCAGAGAGTGTGAGTCAGCTCCACGAAGGCGACACCTATGTCATCCGCTGGAAATACTCTGTCACTAATGTTGGTGAGTGAGGCATGGAACTTCATTTATTTGTGATGTTTCTTTTGTACTTGGCATGCATCATTACAAGTGATACAGTGCTTGTCAACCAGGGGGCAGGGAGCCTCAGCAAGCTGAAAGTGGCATAATTCAAAAGAAGCTAGAAGAGGTGCTGAATATTTTATGGTATGTGTTCGCAGTGGGTAAGAGACAGAAGCCCGGTGAAGTGAGTACAGCTGGCCCAGGCAGGGAACGCACATCATGCTTCTTCTGGCAGGGACGTCACTCCAGCGTCAGTGGGCGGGGCACATCTGCCCTCATGACGGTAGAGCTGGGCAACCACAGGGGGGCGCAAGTGCTGGTCACACAGGGCAAAGAGCCACCCTGCTTCCTCCAACTCTTCCAGGGAGGGCTAATCATCCACCGAGGCTCCAGGGAGGATAGCTTTAACAACACAGGTAATAATCGCAGATAACAATGAGAAAAATTTACCAGACCTCCTTTATATCTCACAGTAATTCCATGTGTGTGTGTTATTTTGGTGTGGTTTTTCTGTCAGGAGACTGGCGTTTGTTTTGTGTGCGTGGAGAGGCAGTAATGGAGGGCTCGTTGGTTGAAGTGGAGTGCTGTTGTGACAGCCTGCGCTCTCGTGCTAGTTTGCTGCTGCTGGGGGTACAAAAGGGACAACTCTACTTGTGGCATGGCTGTAAGTCTCATCCCGGTGCCCGGGAAGTGGGCAAAAGGACCGTGGAGCGCCTCACTCAAACGTGAGCAGATTTACCCATATAGATTTAGGTTGTACTCACACTAGGTGATCTGAACCGTGCCTGGAGGGGAGGGGACAATTGCGCAGGCTCGGTACAAGGCAACCGTGCCTAGTGGGAGTACACCCTTAGACTTTTCTGTATAGGAATGTAATGACCATGTGGTGATTGTGTGTGTATATGTATTTATATGCATGTTACAGTTGTCCTCGTGAGCTGGGTTTGAACAGTAACAGCAGTTTGAAAGTAATTGAAATAGAGGAAGGAACTGAGCCCAAGGAATTCTGGGATGCTCTTGGCAAGCAGGACAGGAAAGCGTATGACTGCATGCTGCAAGGTAAAAAAGAAAATGTTTATTTCCAAGCAATCGATGTTTCCTTGTTATAATGTTGCTAAATTGGTATGTCATTATAATCATACACATGCATTATATTTACTTATGATGCCATAGCCCTGTTCCAAATCTAGTGAGCTTTTTTTATGTCTACTGCTGACATAGGAAGGCAGCATCTGAAATGTAACTTCATAAGTGACTGATTTGAAACACTCTATGAACAATATTCTAGTACGTCTAAAAATATTACACAAAGAGTTGGGTAAAGTGGATTTTTATTTTTATTAGGACACTTAACTAACCACTGATTTCAAGTTTTTCATTTGCATGTTGCTATCCTAACAACACAATATTGGAATAAGTCTAAAATGTAGTAGCACACAAAATATTGGCTAAATTTTAATTAAAACTGGTCTCGCATGAATTATATTTCTAATAGACTTTTCTCTCGTCTTGAATAGATTTTTTTACTGAGCTCATTTTGGAATATTTCAGCGAGTCACATGCCATGTTGCCTTAGAATTGGTCCAAAAGCAGGGAATCTTTAGCATAATCTTGCTGCTTGTCTGTTAAGAACAGCTTTTATGTTGAGGGTGTGTCTGTGATGCCTTAAAATGCAGCCTATCTAGGCAGCCTACTAAGTTTTGGAGCAGGGCCCATGTGTTTTTGATTTTTTTATTATTATTATTATTATTAAGTGATTCAGGTATATTCTCAAGTATATTACTGTCTCTGTGTGCTTGCAGATCCAGGAAAGTACAATTTCACACCACGTCTTTTCCATCTGAGTGCCAGCGGTGGGACTTTTCAGGAAGAGGAACAGTTCGGGCCCGCCCAAGTGACAGGAACCATCATGGCCATGCCATTCCTGCAGGAGAACTTGTATTCTGCCCCTCAGCCTGGTACATAATGTCATTACATGTGACTAACCACGAATTCTCATAATGTCAACTGACATTGAATTGCATCATGTGCTGCACATTGTACGGTGTCAATAGTCAACGCATTCTCATCCCAAGGCGTCATAAACTGACACTTTTGACATTTCGTCTAAATCAAACGCACATGGCACCCTTTAGCGTCAATATAGTTATGGGTAGGTTTAGGTCTGGGTTAGGGTTAGACCACTAGGAGGCGCCTTCTGGCCCATATATATCTCCATCTCATATTGACGCTAAAGGTTGCCATGTGCGTTGGATTTAGACGAAATGTCAAAAGCGTCAGTTTATGACGCCTTGGGATGAGAACGGGCTCCAATAGTTTATATTTTCTATACATCTTTCTCTGCTTTTATTCTCTGTAGCTCTGTTCTTGGTGGATAACAGGATGGAAGTGTACCTGTGGCAAGGGCAGCAACAAGAAGATACAGAATGTACCGGCTCAGCCAAGATCCGCTGGGACAGTGAGAGGAAGTGTGCCATGGAAACAACGCTACAGTACTGCCAAGGTTAGGAGATGGAATCTTCACTCAGGGAAGAGGGCAGGATGTTTTAATAAAGGAAATTCATGCTAGCCCAGAGGTCTTCAAACCTGCTCCTGGAGACCAATAAACTGCCCTGAAAGTTTATATCCAATCCTGAATAGCTTGATTAGATGGTTTAGGTGTGTTTGATTAGGGTTGGAGCTAAACTCTGCGGGACAGTGGATCTCCAGACCTACTGTATGTGCTAATCCAAATGTTACAGCTGGCATTTTTGTGATTCCTTTTTTTCTGTTAAATGGGTCTTTCTGGCATCGTTTGGATAGCGTTACAGTATATGATCACTCTCATTCATTCATGTGCTTTTAAAACATGCGTGATAAGACTGAAAAGAGAACTCTGTGCAGTACAGATTTGCTTTCTCTTTTCTCTTCAAGTTCAAGTTACGAAAACAAATTATTCACTTTCAAATCCTCAAGCTTCTAACCCATCAAATCCTTGAGCTTTTATTTTGATAAAATGCTGTAAACCTTTGTTCACAAATATTTACATTCGCATAATTTCCAAAATTAAGTTATTAATTTCCAAAATTAAGTTATTAAATTAATTTTGATCATAAAATTTATCTTGCAACAAAATACAAATTAAACTCACAGCACTTGCAGAGATGTAGTTGGTGAGAAGCAGCATTTAATGTGAACTGAGAACACTCTTAAAAAATACTGTATTATAAGCTGCACATGTGAAAATGAACACAACAGACGGAATACTTCTTTAAAATTTAAAGTCAAAATCACTGCTGGCACTCTAAAATCAAGTACTTGAGTAAAAGTACTGATACCCTAATGAAATATTACTCCAGTAAAAGTATTAAGTACTCCTTTTCAATTATCTTGAATAAAAGTACAAAAGTAATTGATTTGAATGTACTTAAGTGTTAAAAGTAAAAAGTACTGATTGATGAATGTTTATTTATTTTGCAATGTTATATACTCTATAGATAATATACACATAGGTAGAGTTCAAATAGTACAGCACAGTCTGACATCATAATTAATTATTATGAGCAGTCAAGTTGCCAGCACTAGTCAATAAGGAAGATTATCCAGACACTTAATATGTATTGATCTGCAAGAAAACTTTTTATTTTATTACCAAAACTTGTCATACACTGATAACTACTACTGATAATGACTGATAATTTAATTAAAAAAAATATACCATATAGTATATAAAAATGAGAAAAGACCAAGTGTTTGTAAATATGTTGACATGTAAACGTACAATAAAAAAACAGAAATCACATAGGGCAATCTGTGTTAACATTTTAAGAAGAACTCAATGCAAACATACTAGTTTTACCTAATTTGAAACTGCTACGGCAGCGGGGAAGATGCTGGGGCATCAATTTGTGTTTTTTTAACGTTATGATTAGTTTTTACCTAAAACCTTGGTTCAGAGGGTAATATACAAATGTGGACATGCTTACATTCAAGCATTTCATACAGTGGACTTAAACAGCTTGCCCTTTTACAGGAGATTTAGTTCACAAACAACTGACAGTCGTGACCTAAATATGATTTTCATTTACAATAATGAATCCTAAAATTCGGCAGTGGTAACTTACTTTTTGTGCCATCAGTCACACACAAGCTCTGAGGATCTCCTATTCTTGGCTTTTGAGCCAGACTTGTGAATTCAGTGAAATGTTAACTGGATACTCGCTCTGACTGGATCATTTGAATCAGTAGGTGCGCCCCAAATCGTGTAGCCTACTTTATGTGTGAGTAGTGTATTCACACTGAAAATTCCAAATAGAAAAAGTACACTTTAAATACCTGGATGATGCACTTAATTAACCGAAGAAACCTAGTGTGGGATGGTGGACACTTCATGCACTCGACTGTCACAGCTTTAATTACATTTAGGGGCTATCAGACTCCAATGCTATCAGACTCCAATGTTGAATGACAAAATAACCTTATAAAATTTGTACACTTCACAGTTGAGTAGCCTATATAGTGCATAAGTACATAGTTTAAAAGTTCATCGTGTATAGTGTGTCATTTGGGACACAACTAGTGAGTTGTTGACTTGAGAATAGATGCAATCGGATTGGTCCAATTCAAAAATGAATCGTTCTTTGCGATTTGCGAACCGATTCAAAAGGTTGCTTGAAAAGAATCAGCTTGTTCACGAATCGGACAGCGCTATCGTGTCTCGGAGTGGGTTACGATTTCTTCAGTTCAGAATAACAAGGAACACGGAAAGGTTTCCCAAAAAATAAAGATAAAGTACTGATACTTGAAAAAAATTAAGTACAGCAACGAAGAAATAAATACTGTCCACCTTTGCATTTGACTTATTCAGCCTTTAAGCCTCAGTCACTATTCACTTAGTGCATATTTTATTGCTTTGCTGTGTAATAATGAACTTCTTGTGTTTGTTTTTCAGAGAAGAACTCCAGACGGCCTCCTCAGGCCTACCTGATCCTGGCTGGTGCAGAACCACTCACCTTTACCAACATCTTCCCTTGTTGGGAGAAAGACCCAAATATTAAAGTCCAGGTACGTTACACCACCCATAGTTTTCAGAATGTGTAAAAAGTACTTTTTCTCTGTTAACTGCATCCATATTTATTATTAAATGCATTTGGAAATCAGTTTAGGTAAAATACTCTCATTATTGCGATGGGGCCAACTACATTAATAAGAGGAAAGTTAAGCCACAATAACCTGCAAAATATGTACTTTGAAGGTCAATATAAATTTCATTTTATTTTTCATTTTATTACAGATACAAGAAATTCCCCCAAAATAATACTTAAGTATAGTCATTTTAAGTACTTTAAACCCTGCAGAACGCTACAGAGGATTTTGTTTTTATTTTAAAAGGATTCTCATATATGAATCATACATGAATAGATGGTGGTCGATTTTAATACAGCCCAAAGATCTTTAATATTGAAGCCAATGGATGATGAAACTGGATGTTTGAATGTCTTTGCAGGTTGAAGGAGCCCATAATAAAGTGATTCTGGTTAAAGACGCCCTGTCTAAACTCAGCAGGCTGCAGTACACTGTGGAGGAGCTCACTTCCAAACCCCTGCCAGAGGGAGTGGACCCTCTGCGCCTCGAGTGCTACCTGTCAGATAAAGACTTTCAGGTAACAACTCTATAAAACGAGGCTCACACATGCCCTTTACCAGTGGTATCAAATAACTAAAAGTCCAGGTATTGCAAGTTCAGATGATGTCATGCAATCTAACAATATTGCGTGAAAATATCAATACAATTAGTGTAGAATGACAGAAGAAAGACTAAACTGCTGTTAAACACTAACCAAACAGCATCATCCAATTTAAAATTATAAATAAAAAAATGACATAGTTTTATAACATGGCAGATTATAGTTGCTGATATAAGAATGAATATATTGTCCCACACAGGCTACTACACAATAGAATAGTTTAAAAATCACAGTGGCAACCTCTGAGCAGTTGGTTTCAGAACCATGAAATGAACAAAGACCCCTGTAAAACACTGCCATGCATCACAATTGTTAGCAAATGACGACGTTCATCTGCTTGGGGTTTATTTACCCTTTCACAACTTATTTTTCTGTGACTGTCTATTATTATATTATTATATAATGTCTAAAAGGCACACAGTATTGATACAAATACTTTAGCTAAAATAATATGTTTTTAATAATGTCTAAGTACTTGTTGAAAACAATCACTTTAGCAAAGTTTGCACTATTTTCTGTTTATTTTGATAAATAAAAGAATGTTTTTTTGTTCAATAAATATACGGTCATTAAAATGTTAATATAAAAAATATATTTTAAAAAAACAACAACATTTTTTAAAAATTAAAGATTCTAAAAGCAGTGAATGAGATCCCATAATAATTTAATTTAGATTTACAGTAGTAACATTAAATCATATTTTATTATATGATTCGTTTAATATATTTTTAAATATGATAGTTTCATTATAATTTCATGTCAACAAATGGAAAAGTCAGCATGTTAAAGGGGTGGTATAATGCCCCTTTTTACAATATGTGTGTATGTGAAGTTTTAGCTCAAAATACACCACAGATAAATTTGTACAGAATGTTAGAGTTGTGCCTTTTTGAGGGTCAGTAAAAACGCGTTGTTTCATTGTGTGTCCCTTTAAATGCAAATTAGCTGCTGCTCCCGAGCTTCAACAGTGTGTGTGTGTGTTAGCAGCTCAGATTACCTCATGCAGACAAGCACTAAAATGTCAGAAACTGTTCTGCCTTTTGTGTTTAAACTGGAGTCGGACAATGATGGAGAAACTCAAAAAGAAGTGACAACATGTATAACGCAACAGGACGTTTCTGAATGGTTACCGGTAGTTGATGAATTTGTTGCTGATGTGGAGTTAACTATCTTCAAGTCATTGATTAGCATATTCTGTCTGTGATAAGCTATAAATCGCTCGTGTTGGATCTGTTGTAAGATGCATATAGAGTGACATGCAATAGCATTTGTGTTACGTACTGTATTGCAATAAATGTGAAAAGACGGATGCAACAGCATGAGCAGACTCCCAAATGTGCTCTACTGCAACAACTCTTCCTCTTCTCATCATGGACTTCGTATTCCCTGGGGCGGGGTTTAAAGGGACACTTCACCCATTTGCATTAAGCTTTGTATTGTTAGAAACCCAGTCATATATTATAATGATCGTGGATTTTTCATTTATTTTTCCCTGAGATGGGAGAAATAAGGATTTAAGTGTTTTAAGACGTAAAAATCGTCATTTTGCGTCACAATAAGCAGGAAGTCACATTTCATTGAAAAGTGTAGAGACTACAAACACAAGCTCATCATTTATTCAGGGTGTGGGACCCACTCACGCTACAGACCTATAAACAGATCAGTGGGTGGGACTTCACTTGCAGATACAGAAAGCAATATCAGCCATCTTGTTTGGAAGCTAAGCTAACAAGCGCTGTGGAGATAGGAAGCTACGACAATGACGGAAGAAACTAAACATGATATGGAAGAAGAGGATTTTGAAATTCTGCTGCTCAAATCCGCTGTTCGTGGCTATCTTTACGAGCCGCAATATAGTGAAGAGCAGCTGAGGCTGATGGAGGAACAGGAGGCGGCTGCCTGTCGCGGACGAGGAGCCCGGACTGGCTCGAGCTGGGCGGACTGCTGGTGCCTGTGCTCTCGTGTGCGCTACGGACACAGATAGAGTCCGTCTGCTGCAGAGAATTTCAACGATGGCAATTTCTCCTGGACGAAATCTCTGAATCAGACGAGCACACGGACGTTTGTGTTGTGATGTGAACCATCCTAGTTTCGCACCGCATATGTTCTGACTGAACATTCAGGTATCATGCAATAATTCACCATATAGAAAGAAATACAAACGAGGAGTAATTCGCTAATGAGTTTGCCAATGTAACGGGGTTCGTTGTTGTGGGAAGGAGGAGGCGGGAACCGGCAAACATTTAAACATTTTAATAGTAAAATAAACAAATACAAAACAAAAGTATAAGCCAGCAGTCCCTCACTGTTGGCCACACACAACAGTAACAAAACACAACATAAAATCAGGCCTGTTCCTCAATCGATCTGGACTGTCGTCGCTCCTAGTTTTATGCGTTCGCTCCTCGGTGAGAGACGCGAGAGAGACCGGTGCGTCTCACAGGTGTCGTTCATTATCACTCGCGTCACCGGCCTCGCGCAGTCCTCTCACGTCCCTCGCCCTCGTCCTGCTCGCCACAGCCAACTAACTATAAATTTTGTGTGAAATGAATTTCTAACTCTGGTGGCAGCTAACGTTAGCCTTGTTGACGGAAGAGTGATTTGTGATGTTTGCGCTGCTGTTCTGGATTAGTGGGAGTGGCTTGCGGAGCTGTGCAATGTGGTGCATTCTGGGAGTTGTTGTCTTGCATACAAATGCGCCCAAAAGTTATTTTCTGTCTTTTCTCAGTCAAGAGGGCACCGAATTCAAAATGTATTTTACATTTCGACTACATATATGACCCACTTTCAATAAAGATTAATGTTGAAATGGGTGAAGTGCTCCTTTAAGTAAATTTTAGGGTTGGTGATGTCACTAACCCGGGAGGAATGTCGTGTAGTCCCTACCAGCCGTTTGTTGTAGTCCTTAAAAAATTATTTTTTTAAAAGCAAATATCGTCCTTTGCTTTGAACTTTAAGCGTTGTAACTTTGCAGATGTTGTTTATGCTCAAACAGCAACATTACACACTAACTAAAGTTCTAATCAACCACCCCTTTAATTATTGTGCCTTTAGCCCCCACAGCAGAGGCACCTTTTACCCCAAATACCATACTTTTACATATTCTTCCGTTATTGAAAAACCGTCGCTTAAATTAGCTTGAACAAAACTGAAAATCATTAACGATTCTCATTTGCTACTTAAATCTACATTTTAAAAAACATCAAATATTAGATCAAAGTAGCACATCAACTTTGCGCTGCTGCTCGCGATCGTGTCAAGGATCAGCCAAATCTCCACATGCATCTAGAAAAGCGGATGTGAAAAATGCTGCGGCAAGTTTTTGTGCCATCTAGTGGTTTAGAGGAAAATTTACCTCTGCAATTTCAATTAACCGTACATCTCAAATATTTCAACAGGGCATCTTGCTTTATTAATATTACTTGTGATTTTCTTAAATAACCAAACTTTAACAACACACGGGCAGATCCTTTGAGCGCAGCTGATGATGGTTTTAAGCGACCCTTGAGTGACCAAGATTATTACAATTAACAAATAAGCTTTCCTTAGATTCCTCCGTCTTCATTTTCTTCCCTTGCCTCCTTTCCTCGAATCCCAAGGAGGGTGGAGCTATGACGTAAGAAAAGGAAGCGAGTAAAGGAATCGAGTATGCACAAATAAGATTTGAGCAGAGGTAGACAAAGTACACAATTTTCCTTACTTGAGTGAAAGTACAGATCCTACTGGTCAAATATAACTCAGTTACAAGTAAAAGTTGTAAAGACCGATTTTTATTTAAAGCTGCTGTCTGCAGTTTTTCCTCTTTGTCGCCATCTCTGTTCGAAATCTGCAATTGCAGTCATTCGCAGAATTATCAACTTAAATGGTAAATGGACTGCATTTATATAGCGCTTTCACAGACCCAATGGCCACCAAAGCGCTTTACATATTGCCTCACATTCACCCATTCACTCACTCATTCATACACCGACGGCGGTGTCAGCCATGCAAGGTGTCATGCAACTTTACGTGAGTTGTACCTCGGCATGGCACAGCGCGGATGAATCCAATGTTTTGAGGAGAATGTGCAACTGTCAATCACCACGCCGTTGTGGATACTGTCATTCAGAATCACAGATTCTACTTTTTGGATGCATGACCAACATAAGAATTTTCACCCTAAAATGTCATCTGAACAAGTAACATCCACTTTTGGTCTTCTGACCAACTAAGGGAAAAAAACCATTGCAGTAAATCACGCTGATTAAATCTAACGATCGCTTAAGCCTTATCATATCACGTCAAACCGTGCAAATTATACTTTGTTCTCAAATTGTTAATGTTAACAACATCAGCATTGCGTGACTACATTTAAAACCCTTCAGATATTTATCCTTGTTTTCGCATGGGCCGGTTACAGTCTCTTTTTCCAAACTCTCAGTCCAAAGTCTTTTGCATTTTACAATGGGTGAATCTCTAGTTGTCACTGGTGATTGTCGTTTGAACCTTTCTGGATCCGCCATCAAATTAATAAGTTTAATTATATGAAGTGCTGTGAGAAAAGGCTATAATGTCCACCTCCAACATCCTCACTCGCAATATAGCCTGCTAGCCGAGACATCTTATTTATGTGTACAGATGTGACGTAATGACGCAAAGAAATGCTCAAATTTCCCGCGGAAATCCACCAGTACCACTGGAATTAAAAACATTATTACAAGCTTACCATTTTGAATTGAGCTAAGGCAAGCAGATCGTTTTGAACATTGGCTGGTTATGTACTTGCTCAAAAATTTATTTTGGATAATTTTTAACCCAAAAAAGGTTCGGACTGAAGCTTTAAGTAAAAGTACAGAAGTACTTGTTTTTAAAAGTACTTAAGCATCAAAAGTAAAAAGTAAATGTTAATACATTGTTTAATTATTGTTGCATTGTTG